ATTGAGTGGAGTAGAGGTGGACATTTTAAAGGCACAGTAACAGGTCTTTGAGAGCCAGAATTCTTGCTGTTTCTTAGGTGTTCAAATACTTATGTTCAGCAGTGCAAGACAAATAAATTCTTTAAAAATCATACAATGTGATTTCCTGAATTTTTTTTTTTTTTTAATTCTGTCTCTCAGAGTGGGAATGCACCTACAATGTAAATTTCAGACCCCTCCATGATTTCTAAGTGGGAGAACTTGCAAAATCGCAGGGTGTTCAAATACATCTTTTCCTCACTGTAGGTGGGTGTAAATGGACACATGTCCGTTTACATCCACCGCTCAATAGAGGAGACTGGAGGGTCTGAATGGACCTGCCTAAAAAATGGACATATGGACCTGATTAGTCTGCTATTGTGAAAGGGGCCTTAAGCTGATGTCCTGTTCAGGACTTCTGGAGAAGAGTATAGCTTATTATCATTAGCTGCTCTTGTCTGAAATGATTGAGAACCCAGAACTATAGGCTGTATAGCAGTGCTTATGTTTATTGTGGACAGCTAGTGAAAATCAGTCCTTCCTGTTTCCTATGGAGGAGAGGAACACTTTTTTGTAGATTTGCTACAGACTTTCCTGTTCTGCAAGTGCTCTTTATCTTTTTTCCACTTAGACATATTCTCTTTAATTAATTAGACTATAACCCTCAAGGCTTACATGTTAATAAAGCTGCTTCCTAATGAGCAAAGTGACTGGGTGTGTGGGATTGAGAGCTAATTATGCTGATTACCAGCCATTCCATACATGACTTATGGTTGAGAAGCTGTTCTCCTGGGTCTTATGGTGATTAAACTGTTCAGTTTACAAATTTGCAAATAGATTTTACTGTTTTGGTGGCAGTAAGGGCAAATGAGTTCCTAGAGCTGTATATGAAGGGTAAAGGACTCATGGCAACCAATAAAAATCCAGTATTCATTAAAATGAAAGAGTGAAGTTATGTAATCTGGTTCTTTATTGGCTGTTTGAATATCTGCCTATCCGTTTTTTTTTTACCTGGTGATCCTATCAGTAACACAGATCTGTCCTGGGATGACAATCTATTTGAGCCAGGTATGAATTAGAACAGTAGCACTCAAATACCTTCATAACAAATCTATTGCGTGATGTGTGCTCATTCTAATTCTGAGCTCTTCATTTTCTTTTAATTACTTGATACTTATAAATGTCAGTTTAATTGGTTAGATGTTGCCTTATATTTGAAGAACTACTTCAATGTGTCAGGAGTGGCACTGAAATGTTTTGGTGTGAAGCAGGTCTGTCCTCTCTGTCTTTCTGTGTTGGGCTTGTCTACTGAAAGGAGTTTTAGTCTGGATGTAAAAGAGAGTGTGCTCGGTCTGGCTGGCTTCCACATTCATTATAAAGCTTACTTTTCTCATGTTGTACGTGCTGCTATATTTACTGGAAACCACAGCTCCCACCTATACAGCCTACATAGGCTGCCTTCATTCGGTACCCTGGCAGATCTGCTGGTTGGCTGTTCATGAGGCCTGGGGGCAAAAGGAAACCTTGCACTTATTTTTTTGAGTTTTGCAAAGACTAGATGCCATAGGTGGGGGCAGAGGTGGATTAGGTGGAGGGGCAGAGTATCCAAGTTTTCCAGACACACATTGTAGATGAAATAAATTCTAACAGCTGTCAAAAATGGGAATTCTCACTTTGAGGAGGTTTCCTTTCATTCCCCCTACTGCTTTTGGGACGAGAAGTGAGAAGAAAGGAAGTAACTCTTCCCCCTTATCTAAAATATTTTATTAGGGTTGATCTCATCCTCCAATTTACTAGTAGATCATTTACCCAGGACTCCAGCCTGCTTACTTGTTCTGATGATTTAATGCAGTTGTCGCCAAACTGCAGCCCTTTGCTTGCTTTTATCCGGCTCTCGTGGCACTATTTCCTTTACCGACACCAAGAATGGGGCACAGTTCCTCCCAAAGACACCAAAGATAGGGTACAGTTCCTCCCAATGTCACTAACAATGGGGCCCAATGACACCAATGCTGGGGCACAATTCTTCCACTGAAGCCAATGCTGGGGCACAATTCTTCCCACTGAAGCTAATGCTGGGGCACAGTTCCATCCAATGACACCAACAATGGGGCCCAATGACACCAAAGCTGGGGCACAATACTTCCTAATTACACCAGTGATGGAGCACAGTTCCTCCCAATTACACCTGTGATGGGGCACAGTTCCTCCCAATTACAATGGGGCACAAATCCTCCCAATGATACCAATATTAAGGCACGGTTTCTCCAAATGACACCAATAATGGGGCCCAATGAAACCAATGCTGGGGCACAATTCTTCCCAATGAAGCCAATGCTGGGGCACAATTCCTCCTAATTACACCAGTGATGGGACACAAATCCTCCCAATGATAATGCACATTTCCTTCCATTGATGCCAACAATGGGGCCCAATGAAGCCAATGCTGGGGCACAATTTTTCCCATTGAAGCCAATGCTGGGGCACAATTTTTCCCAATGAAGCCAGTGATGGGGCACAGTTCCTCCCAATCACACCAATGATGCGGCACTATTCCTACCAATCACACCAAGGATGGGGCACTATTCCTACGAATGACACCAACAATGGGGTCCAATTACACCAATGATGGGGCACAATTCCTCCCAATGACACCAAGGATGGGGCATTGTTTACTCCAACTGATGCTGGGACATTTTCTACTCCTGATGGTCACAGTGTGGCCCCTCTAAAGTCTTAAGGACAGTAAACTGGCCCTTTTTGTTTAAACATTTTGGAGACCCCTGATTTAGTGGATACTATTGATGGATGATGAGTTTGACAATCCAGGATCTTGCAGCTTTTAGTACAAGTCAGCAAAATCCTCTTCTATATATCTGTCGCATTAAGCTGTAGGTAAGCTTTCTTGCTTTTAAACAAAAAGGCTTTTCTATTTGGCTTTCTGACATCTTAATCTCAATGCAGATGACAGATCTCAACAATCCGCTATTAGCAAATCTGTAAGCTTTCTTATTACAGACTAGGTCTATATTGGACCACCTAGAAAAAAGGGTGAAGCTTGACATAAAGATTAAAGAGTAGTTTCACATGATGCATGAATGTTCTTTTTACTGAATGGTCATAAAGACCTAAGCATGTGTTTGTGTGTACTCGGTAGATACCACCTGCACCTGACTTATGAGGAGACCGTAATAGCTCTACTGGAAAACTGAACCTGATGGACCTAAAAAATTCATATGATAGACAAAGGCCTGAAAATGAACATAGACATTGCAACTGTTCATCCTGGATGACCGATAGATGGTTATCTGTGGGTCTGTCCAAAAGGTGCAGATCCATTTGTCAGTCAACAGCTGGATGACATTGTGGGGGTTATTTACTAAAGCTGGAGAGTGCAAAATCTGCTGCAGCTCTGCATAGAAACCAATCCACTTTCAGGTTTTATTGCCAAAGCTCAGTTGAACAAGCTGAGGTTTGAAGCTGATTGGCTACTATGCACACAGGGGCGGACTGACCATTTGGAAACTCGGGCACTGCCCAAGGGCTCGGGGTCAGTAGGGGGCCCCATGAGATGCCCCTGTACCTTTTTCATAGGCTTTTTTTGAGTTTGGGCAAGGACACGGGCCCCATGATCCCCCATTGCCCGGGGGCCCCATGAGTTGTCAGTCCGCCCCTGCATGCACATTTGCACCAGATTCTGAGTGCGCCAGTTTTAGCAAATCACCCCCTATGTGACTTCTCCTCTTGACACTTGATTATTCATTGGGAGGAGATTTCCTAAAACTGATGCAATCAGAATCTGGAGCAGCTGTGCAAAGTAGCTAATCAGCTTCTAACTTTAGCCTGTTCAATTAAGCATTGGCAATAAAACCTGAAAGCAGATTGGTTTCTATACAGAGCTGCACCAGATTTTGTACTCTCCAGTTTTAGTAAATAACCCCATTATCTTTACCATTCTGATGACAATTAGGGCTGATATGCGTACCCACAAACTCCCAATTCAGGTCAGGTAGATTAAAAACCGCCGTTTGCATTGATGGGCACCTTCACAAATGTGAAATGGAAAAGATGGGGTTAGTCAGGTCAATTCTGCAGGGCTCTGCAGTGTGACCACCTGAGCAATATTTGTCACTTCCGCTGTTCTGCCATGTCCTGTGCCCCACATTCTAATCCTGGTCACTAACCTAGGCCTTTCCAAACTATATACTTATGGATGGCTCATGGAGTAAGGATTGTGTTTTGCTGCATTACTGTTTTTTTTTTTTTTTTTTTTTTTTTTTTGGTTTTTCTTTTAGCAAAAATCACTACTCTGCTGTTTTTAACTCCCTTGTTCCCACAATGCATCTCTGAATAGTCATTGTGTAGTTGTTTAGTTGCCATTTTGAGAGTTGTTTTGCCTGTGTGGAGCACATATGTGCAGTTGGCCATGCCAACTGCATACCTGAGTTACACACAGATAAAAAGCTGTTCGTTTTGTCTGCGTGGAGCCACACAGCACAGGTCAGACAACAACAGCAACCGCAGCAAAACACACGGGGAAATGTAGAAATTTACTGTATAATGAAAATTGCTGCGTGTCCATTGCTTTAAAAAACACGCCTAGCCATGGTTTGCTGCATTTTACCATGTTTAACTGCGCTAGAGCAGTGTTACAGCTGAAAAATTCCTCTTCAAATGCAGTAGCTCTGGGGGCGGGGGGTTTTCCAGCCTGAAAATGCCCCTGCCAATAAATGCCAATAAAAGCCTATGTGTGCATGGACACATAGGATAACATGCTGGACAGTTTACTGGCTGTAGAAAAAACACTTGAAAAATCAGCCAGTGTGCATGAGGCCTTACAGTCAGCAGTAGACTGAGAGCTGTAGCACATATTTTAACTTCCTTGTTTTTCATCTGTCGGGACCTGAATCTACTTGAACATCAATCACAGCTATCTATCTGTACTGAGCTTTGTTTCCTTTTTTTTTTTTTTTTTCCCTTCAGGAATTTTTGCTTACCTCAACTACCATGTGCCCCGCACCAGGCGTGAGATCCTAGAAAGACTTATCAAGGGTCTCCAAAGATTGGAATACAGAGGATATGACTCTGCAGGTGAGTAGATTTGGGATATTGTAGTACTTCATGTCATGTGTTGGACTCCACTTTGCTTTATAGGCAGGAGCAGGAAGATGGTTGCTATTCTAATGAATAGATAGGCCATGTTTTTAGGAGATCTTGGTTCAGCCCAACAATTCTTGTAGGGAGAAACCCACTTGATTTTTTTTTTGATAAAAAAGGATAATATAAATTGTCACACAAGAAAATCACAAAGCAGATTTATAGAAGCTGAAAAAAAACAAACTTTATTTAAAGAACTATAAACCATCCAGTACACATACGCCTATTGGATCTAAAATGGATAAAATGCTTGGTTCTCATGATAGAATGGGAATTTCCCTTGCTTTGCTTGTTTTGCTGTGCTTTCATATGTGCCGAGGTAGAGGTTCTGACACACACACACTGGGTAACAAGTGTTCAAGAACTTGTAATGTTTATTAAAAAAAGACCTCCTAATATACTTGTTAAATTCTTTCTCATTGCAGTAAAATTACACAGAACAGTTGGCTTATGTGTAATTATCTCAGCATCTCTCCATCTTAAAATTATATCCTATTTTACAAATCTTTTAAAGGTTACGTATTTAAAAGTAATGTGCTTAAAGCAATATGACTGCGTGAGGGAGTTCTGATGGCTGCTTGCCAGTTCTTTGACAGACATGTCATTCACAGTGCAGATTCACTGCCTGGACCTAGTTGGAGGTTTTAATAGAATAGCACCTTCCATTAGAGGCTTTACATGTTATTTTAATACAAATTTTATTAATTCTCATTATGAATATATGCACATGATCTGTGGCCTACGATTCGTTTTTAGGCAATCCTGTTCTGTTTCATAGATATGGATATTCACTTAACAGGCTTCATTAGGCCACATGTCTCTGCTGTCTGATTTAATTCTAAGGAACTTCTGACTTTCAGTGTACGTTGTTGCTTGCAGGTGTCGGTATTGATGGTGGCAACGAGAAAAACTGGGAGAACAACACCAAGAAAATTCAGCTCATCAAGAAAAAGGGGAAGGTCAAGGCTTTGGATGAAGAAATAAACAGTATGTGAATTTTTTTTCTTTAAAACTTGTTGATCATTTTGCTTTTAAATTGGAAATTGATTCACGCAAAGGTTGAATATATCCTGGATTTCCCAGGACCTCCCTAGGCTTTTTTTTTTTTTTTGCACACAAAACGTAACATTGTCACACTTCTGACTCTCATAGGTCAAGGCGGCAGTTGGATGAATGTTTGTGGGCATTATGCAGGCCATAGATGGGTCGTTTATCGGCCGTATTTTCGTCCGCACGGAAAATCGTCCGATATTCACGCCGTTAGTGGGGCAATACCGTCGGCCGTTTAATTTTATCGGTCATGCTGGAAAATCCACGAAAAACGGAAGTTTTTTCTTGGGAGATTGGCAGCATCTCTGCCAGCAACGACCGATTTTTCATTTATTGTCTGATAAACGACCCGTCTAAGGCCTGCATTAGGGTATTTGGAGAGTGTGCATATGTGTGGTGGAAAAAGGGTGAGCTTTGACGTTCACATACTGCACATGTACGTCAAAGGGGGGCCAAGGTCTCTGTGCTGATAACATGCTCATTGCACGATTCCAGCACAGGGACAAAGACAGCTCTCTGCTGGTGGGAAGGGGTTAGGCCATTTTTATGCCTGTGTGTACTTGCCCCAAGGGAAATGTCTGGATGATTTGGAAGTAGTTATGCCATAACTGTAAACAGAAAGAGGTGCAATCATTGCATGACCACATCTACCAAGCTGTACATGTGGGAAAGGTCTGCTGTTGATTGATTGAAGAATGAATAGTGATCACCAGCTGTATTAGATTTTTTTCGCACATCTGGTTCCTCTGTATATATTAGTGTTGCCGCAAATGATTTGAAAGGTATGTTTGCTTAGTGCATTGATTTTATAACTAGAAATTGGTTTACCAATGCATCTGTGCAAACCCTGAAAGTTACAGGCCATAGAGATGTAGCAATATGATGTTCTCTTGAAGACTGGCCATCTATCAAGCAATTTTCTTTCCTTCAACCACGGGTTGAAGGAAAGCAAATTGCTTGACTCCCCCATCAATACTGAATGTGGTGATGGGAAAATCCTTCCCACTGTGCTAATGTATTCTGACAGCGGGAGGTTTCCTGCCCTCAGAATACAATAATTACTGCTGCTGGCTGTGGCTGGAGGCAGTAATTGTATGGGGGTTAAAAAAAACCCTGACAGGCTGGTAGTACTCACGTCGGTCGATAGACTGACTTCAGTACAACCAGCCCTTCCCATAGATGGATCGAAATTCAGTCTGTCCCTGCTGAACTGAATGAATTTCAGATAGTCTATTGCAGCTTAAGGATCACTATACACATTCAGATCTGAATGTACAATCTCCTTTTTAGATCTACCAAGAACTATTTAGTACACAAGCCTGTCTGCTTGATTACAGATTGATTGGATAGATTTGGTACGTTCTCATATTAAATAGTTTTTGGTAAATCTAACATTTCCCATGGTCAAAATTGTTACTTGTACGCCGATCTTTAGACTCTTGTTGCTACATGAACATCTCAGCAGTTAGCAGTGCTTCCAGCTGTATAGAAGTGGTGAGAACATGTTGCCTTGACTAAATTAACTACATGTTTAGACAGCAGAAAGTAGTCGTAGCATGGCTTCCTTTTCCTTAGGATTTTATCTCCGTTGTCACCACTCTGTTCTTGTTTTTACAGTACGTCTTGATTAGCTTTGTTAGACAGCTCACTATCCTAATACATCTAGTACTATTGATCTGGAGTGCCCCTGAGAGTTAATATTTCTCTATCTCTCTTTTTACCCTCTTTAGGCCAGTTGGCGTCAGTGCTGCTCTGCAGTGACTTAATGAGCAAGGTTTATTTCTGTATTTACTAAAAACAGACTGAATAGTGGGAGTTTTCCTATCCCTAGCATTACATGTACACATGAATTTAATAAAAAGCTCCCTCACCCCTCTTCAGTGTCTCTCTGTTTGAAATCTGAAGCTGTCTTCAGAAAAGTTGAGTTATTTAAATACCTTGTGGGGGCCGAGGTCTCCAGCTTGCAGGGCCAAGTACTCCTTTTTTTTTTTTTTTTTTTTTTCTTTGCCATGCTAACCAAACACTAAGAAAATATTTTTTTTTTTCCTTCAAAAGGAAATGGTCAGTGGTGCTCCGGTGTCACAGCACCATTAGAGTTAATTGTTTGTATCCTGGAGAGCTGTAATGGAGTTCTCTCTGGCCACAGCAGCAGAGTTAAGGACTGCCTACGTGGATGTTCGATGAGGGATGCTGAGCTTCTCCTAATGACGTGTAGCCTAACATGTTGTGCTCCTTTTGCTGGGCTCAAAGCCTGGTCTAAACTTTGTTTTCCAATAAAAACCGTTTCAGGAAAATGTCATTTATTCACATTACCCCACTGGCTTCATCTCTCCTCCCCCTGCAGCTTCAAGCCTGCCAAAGGATTTCATAACGGAATTTAGGTAACGCTAACCCTAGTGAGCTTTTAAGAAATAAATATATGAGATGACCTCTGGCCCAGCTGGAAAGGCCTATTGTAGTGACCTTTTTTAACTAGTTGAATTTACTATTTTATTTCAAATCCAGCTTTGTTCTGATTTATTTTCATTTCATTTGCTTGTTTAATGTACATGAATGCTAACCCCCAAAGCGGCCCATTTCCTTTTGTCGTAAATTCAGTTTTCTGATTGCTCACAATTAAACCTATTTACATGTGGTTTTAGTGAAGGGGCCCAGCTCGTTGGTTTGTGCAGGGTCTATCAGACTTTAGAGAATTCTGTATTGCTTGGCATGGGAGGATTGCATTGCCCTCTTAAACGTCTTCCCCCATTGTCCCTTCTGTCACAAATCCAAAAACGGACAGATTATTTCTGATTGCAGATAGAGACATGTAGATCATGTCTTTGTCCCTGCGGCCAATAGTGTTTTTCAGAAGTACATTTATATATATATATATATAAAGCCTGAGGTTAGATTATAGACGAGATAGAATTCAGCAGTTTCAGCTTGTCAGTTTTTGTTAGTGTATATGAAGCCTTAATTCTATATATATATACAACTGTGTACTTGGGGCAAACTGTGCATAGGCTGTAACTAGCGCTTTAGATTTTTTGCTGCTATGTGAGCAGAGAATAATTGAAGATTGGCAGAAATTTTCCAACCCACTTAGCAAACAATAAACATTTGGAAGACGTGGGCTTGATTTATTTTTTTCCCCATACATGGTAAAGTGGAGCTCTCAGTAACTTAAAGTAGTTGTAAAGCCTAAACCTTTTATATCTTAAAGTGCATGTAAAGGGTAGTTTTTTTTTTTTTTTTCTCTTCATGCATTCTATGTGCGCAAGAGCAACTGCTGTACCATGTCTCTCTCTCCTTATTGGTTGAGACACAGCAGCCATTGGCACCCACTGCTGTCAATCAGATCCAGTGACGAGGGAGTGGGGGGTGGGACTGAGCCACGCTCTGTGTCCCATAAACACACAGAGGCAGCTCGGGAGCTTGTTCTGGGGCACTTGGCACTGGGGAGGGGCCATAAGTGACAGCGAGGGACCCAAGAAGAGGAGGATCGGGGCTGCTCTGTGCAAATCCATTGCACAGAGCATGTAAAACACAATATGTTTATTATTTCTATGAAGGAGAAATCGAACCTTTAGAACCACTTGCATTCCTTCTTTAAGGTAAAAATGTTTGAGCATTTGTATTGCCCCCTCTCCTCCAGTATACTTCCCTTAGTGCCATCTCAGTCCAGTGCTGTGCCCATGTACAGCAACTCTCTCCTTTTCTCCCCACTCTCAGAGCCTTTACTAAGAGTAAATCTAATCCTGTAATGTGGGGGGGGGCAGGGCCAAGCCTTGCTGTCTGTGTCTATGGACACGCACAACAGGGCTCGGGTGCACCACAATAGGAGGCGGCTTCCTGTGGTGGCACACCAAGAAGGGGAGGACCCAGGAGCACCAGTGGGGGACCTGAGAAGAGGAGGATCAGAGCTGCTCTGCGCAATACAGTTTTTGTATTTTTGACATGCTCTGACCAAGTGGTCTAGCCATTACAATCTGGACCTTGTAAAAGTCGCTCATATCCTTACACTTGTCCATTTCTTTCAACACACTAGCTTCAGGGACAACACGTTCACTTGGTTCCTAATATATCCCACCCACTTTCAGGTGCCATTGTCACAAGATAATCAATGTTATTCACTTTACCTGTTAGTGGTCATAATGTTATGGCTGATTAGTGTAAACGTTTTGGGCACAATTGGGCCTCTTGCACACTGCAGCTTGAAAAAGCTAAGTACAGTGTTTTGTTTTTTTTTTGTTTTTTTTTACTGATCTGAAATGCAGCCCATTGCTTAGAATGTACCTGTACAGACAGGCATGTAAACAAGCACTGTGTATTCTTAAGTAAAAAAAAAGAGAAAACTTTCGCTATCTGGAATAACCATGATCACGGGAGATTGGCCCAGGTCCTTCGATCTGACCCATCCTTACTCTCGACGGCCCCCGCTGCCTCCCCCCCATTTACGTTCTCCTGGTTTCAATGACGACAGGTGATGTCCGATGTTTGTTCTTTTCGCTCTGTCTCTGACGTTCTCGTCCCTCCGACTGGCTTCGAACAACTCCTGCTTCAATCTGATCCTCCCATCCATGTAGTCTCCCAATTGTATTCAATCCTCCTTTGTGCATCTTCTCCTGACCTTCCTTCTTATACCCGTGGCTGGGAAATAGATTTACAACTTACCATCTCCCCAATAGATTGGGAAAAAGGCTTCATCTTGACTCATGCGTTATCCGTAGCTTCCAAAACCCATTAAAAGGGCTTTAAACTGCTCCCCAGATGGTATAGATGGCCAGCACTTCTCCACCGTTTTGACCCTTCCATCCCCGACGTTTACTGGTGTTGTCAAAGCTCAGGGGGGTACTATACTTCATATTTGGTGGTCCTGACCGCCTATACGGAAATAATGGCAATCTATTTTTGACCTGTATAATAAACTGATGACAACATTGGTCCCTCCATCCCCAGAGCTAGCACTTCTCTCCCTACTACCTGAATCTTTTAAATCAGTGAAACGGGATATCTTGAGACACCTGGTGGTTGCTGACCGGGCAGTTATCCCCCTGCCATTGGAAGTCCTCTTCTGTGCCCTTCTTAGGGGAATGGGTTAGTGAGTTGGACTCTATCCATGATCTTGAACACCTGTTGACCCGGAATCGGAGAAAACAGATCTGAAACCCTTGGTCCTTGTTCTGCCACTCCTCCGAATTTCACTCCTGGGTTGCCAGTGGAGCGCAGACCCCTCTCTGATGTAGCCATGGTGGGGCCGGTATCCCATTCTCGATCCCTCTCATTCTTCCCTGCTGTTTCGTATCAGTCCCTCTTCTTCCTTTTTTTTCTTTTCTTACTTTTTTTCCTTTCTTTCCTCTCCTTTTTTATCTTTTCCCTTCTTTCCTGACATGTCATTCTCCAGACAACCATTCGCTCCCATTTTTCTACTGTTATTGAATACATTCTGAGATGTGTCCCCGCACCAGGCAACTCCGGCCTCCTACGCTATAGAGCCCGGGGCTTTGATCTTGTTAACACTATGGCTACTTCTTAGTTTGGCATAAAAGAAGAACAATGTATAATATTCAATCTGCCTCATTGTATCATATGTATGTTATACTCATTTCCGTGATTATTGATATATGCGGATTGGTGCCTGCCACTTAATCCTATACATTTTCTCTTATTGTACTTATCCTTTTGTTATTATCTGCCTCATTGAAAACTTAAACTATGATTGAAAAGAAAAAAATGAGAAAAATCTGCATTCCCGGTCAGTATTTTGTGCCAATACGCGCATATGCACGCAAATACGCGCATATTGACAGAACTATTGATTTATTTTACATAGGAGTGTATTTGTACGTGAATGCTCAAACATCTGGATGTGTGCATAAATACACACAGAACAAATTGTCTGAAATTCCATCCAAAAATGCTGATGCTCAAACATCAGTACCGGGTGCAAGAGGCCTTATGGAACATTTATTAAAGTGGAACTGCACTGTATCTGAGGACCATAAACCAAAAATGCTATTTAATTCATTGTTAATATTCAAAGAAAACTCACCCATCCATCCATGTCGCCATGCTTTATTTTGCTATGAATTAATTTTGTAAAGCACCCCCTGGTATTTCTGGGAGTGGCCATCTTGAGTAAGGACAGATGATTCATGTAGCACTTATTTCCTGGAACCCATCTGCCCTTAGCTCAGGCATTGGCTGAGCTGACAACCCTCCCTCCCCTCCTGTTATGACATAATTTGCTTGGGCATGGAAATCGGGAAGAAATTTAAAAAATAAATTTAAAACAAGTAAATATGATCTACTTTCCTATCTATTTATTAATGCAGCATAAGGATTAAAAATGGTCAATGGTAATTGAGACAGTGAAGTTCTACTTGAAACACAAATTATTATATTAGCATCATTTAAGGGACTGTCATCACTATTGCATGTCATCTGTCAAGTTATGAATTATCTGTGACAACTTTGCCACATTAGGGGGAATGACAGAGAGAAAAAGCTGCTGTGTTGACGCTGGGTATATTATGTATCTCCCAAGGGTATGATCCTTCAGCCAACAATCAGATCTCTGTGCATGGCCAGCTTTGGCCTGTCTTACATTTGTACGTTGAACTTCAGAAATGATGCCATCATACTGGTAAAGGCATTCCTTAGCACCGTGAGAACCTAGAACACATGTGCATTCCCCCCGGCTTTAGCAGTAACCTGTACATTACCCCCTCTTCCTGCCTTTCCATCTTCTTACGTTATAACTTGCCCCCAGGGGAGATTACAATGGCAACAGATATTTGCACTCCACTAAATTAAAACCATTTCTAGGGAACTTGCACAATGGCTGTCTGGAGAGTAAATTTATGGAGCAATATTTCACTGGATTCTCTGTTGGCTTTTCATTCTTGGGAATCCAGGCTGGTATTTGTTTGGATCACAATCATGAGGAACAGTAAATGATTAGTGACTGTAAAATAAAAATTGCATTTATTTACAGGAGCTGTAATTTACAAATGTCTTTGAAAACCGCATCAAGCTTGACAAGCCTGACAGACTGTTCATTTCACAAAGCTAAAACACCAGGATAAGGAGCCTTATTTTTAATGGAAAGTGAAAGTTATCTTCAGCTAAATCCAATGAGATTTAAAGCGGTATAGAGCCCAAAACTAGAAATGTAATAAATTGCAGCTTACCAGTCATTCGATGTGGCTGCATCAGTTTTTGTGCCTCTTTACCCTATGTTTTCACCTGGTGATCTGACCAGTTACACACCTCCTGTATTAGAGTGCCTGCACTCTGGATTAAGGAGCACAGTAGGCACCTTTTGGACAGCAGCATTGTCGCTCTGGGACCAAGGAGTGTTAGACGTATTAGCAGATTTAAATACACTAACAAATTGAAGCCAAACTCCAGCTCTGTTTAACCTGCCTGGCGGTATTCCCGAGTGTAGCTTGGGGTAAAGTTTCAGCACCACAAGCGGTAACCCCGAGTTACACTCGGGCTTACCATGCAGCGCTGCTCCGGGATCTGTTCTTCACTTACCTTGTCCCCGCGCTCCCGCGATGTCCCTTCTGTAATGTCCTCCAGCCGATGCTGGCATCTGTCTTCCGGGGTCCGTTCCCTGCGACGTTGGGACGTACGGGGATCGAACTGGCGGGAAATTTGAAAATTGTAAAAGTGACATTCACTCAATACACTAAAATCACATAGTATAACATTACTGTATCAAACCATTTCACATACATTTTGTCCCGAGTGCTTTGTCCTGTGCCCTGCCTGCATTTTTACTGTTCTTTCTGCCTGGAAACTGAGAAATGTCCATGGCGTCCAAAAAGTGTCCCTTTAGGTCAAAATCAGTTTTAGACCAGCTAGAGAACAGCGATAGTAAATTAGAACCACTTGCAGAATTGAGTGATAATGATTTGTGGGGAAATTCGTCATCAGACACTGAAAACGATTTTGCAACTTTGCTCAGTGATGTGCGAACTTGGCGCTCTGTTTCAAATTTCAGTGTTTTTGGTTTGATTATATTATTGAATTAAATTTTTATTATTATTATATTATTATTTTTTATGATTATTTATTAAATTCTAATTTATGATTTCATGTTTCAAATTTTAACATACCCGGGATGTTTACTAGACTCTTGTTCGGACAGATTTCAGTGAGTTATTCCTAAAAATTACAGGCCTACAATAAAAAAAAATACATATTTCCATGCCAAAAAATGTACCGCTTGGAGCACAGAAATATGGACATAATCAGATCGCTAGGGAGGCTACAATCAGTTACAGTAAACGTTTTCCTTTTGGAATATAAGTTTTACATGTATAAATAAAAGCTGATCATTGCAAGCACCCCTGTCAGTGCTAAATGGTTTATCTCATCCCTGTAAATGGATATATCTGGAAGAGAGGTGGTTGTTTTGAAAAATGACAGACTTTCTGGCCAGATCACCTGATGAAAATAGATGTGATGGCTGCATTAATGGTCTTTTTTCTAAGAATTTGTAAGCTGCAGTATAATAAATGTTTGCTTTTGGGTTTAATACTGCTTTAAAAACAGCAGTCACATGGGCACAGACTGAAGGGGGCTTACCTGAGCAGGTCTGATTTACCAACCACTTGGGCTTGCCAAAACCATTCATTGGATTTGTATCCAGTCAGGCAGGCTGCCATACTACATAGTTGATCTAGATAGATCTAAAGGAGATTGTTAAAGATTGTTATGTGTATGGTCAGCTGTAGCTATCTACAGATCAAACAAACGTTTAAAACAATTTGAACATAATTATTATTTTTAAATAACCAGATATAGTTAATATTATATAAAACATTTTCTTTAGGTTTTGCTGTTGTTTTTCACTGTACTGCTTGATTCTTTGGAATGTTGAAAACCTTTCAACGTTTCTTTTACAGAGCAGGAAAGTCTGGACCTGGATATTGAATTTGAGATTCACCTGGGTATTGCACACACCCGCTGGGCCACTCACGGAGAGCCCAGCCCCACCAACAGCCACCCACAGCGCTCTGACAAAAACAATGGTAAGCTAACTGTTCATGTACATAATGTTAAATTTAAATTGGTTAAAGGCTGAATGTATTTTACCTTCATTCATTCTGTGCATGAAGATAAAAACTTCTCAGTATGCAGATCCCACTATACTTGCCCAAGCCCAATCACGATCCAGTGATGTGCACGAGTCTCTGCCTCCTCATTGACTTCCGCTGCTGTCAATCACAGCCAGTGAGGAGTGAGCGGGGGTGGGGCCCATCTCTGTTTTTGTGTGTCTTATAGACACACAGAGCAGGGCTTGAGAGCGAGCATTCACAATGCCCCCATAGCAAGTGGCTTGCTATGGGGACACTTGGAAAAGAGGAGGAGCCAGGAGTGGCGGCGGGGCATCTGAAAAGAGGAGGATCAAGGCTGCTCTGTGGATAATCACTTTAAACAGGATCCCAATATAAAAAAAGTAATGCATCAATAGTATATTCACCGCGCAAACCACACACCAAAAAAAAAAAAAAATTTAATTGCCTAACAACTTAATAAGTGAATAGAAAATAAATTGAATAAATCAATAAATAAAATCTGTATAGTGCCGCTGCCTTACATAGTGAATACATCAATATTCATTCAACATATCTTTGCAATGACCAGTGAAAGCAGCGCAAAAAATCAAGTATAAAACAGTGACATAAATGAATATACAATTAAATAATGTGCTATAGCAAATAAATATATAAAAATCAATTAAATTAAATCTGTAAAAGTCCAATTCATCAAATGCACAAATACTTCAGATAGACCCACCAGGAAAAAATAAATAAAATTGTGATTGAATAAAAAGTCCTTCTGTTCTACTAAAGTCCCCATGTGAGTAAAGATGATTACTTGAATATGTGCATAAAACTTCACTCAAGTATCACCATGTGCTCCAGAGGAAAGCCTCCCCCAACTCAGCGGCACTCACCAGATATCATGGCTCATCTAAACTTGATAGACAATTGCACTTGTGATGTGTGTCAAATAAGCATCCTCAATCACTTAGCCCCTTGGAAATTAGAGGCTGAATAGATGGCAGGGCATCCTCCAAAATATTTACTCCATCACTTCCACCATTATCTCAGCACTGTCCTGCTGTACACATTTATTTCTGAAGATGGTCCCTGGGCTTCAAAAATAATATGTACATCAGGACAGTGCTGAGATAATGGTGGAAGTGATGGAGTAAATATTTTGGAGGATGTCCTGCCATCTAATTGCCAAGGGGCTAAGTGATTGAGGATCCTTATAACGTCTGACACTCACCATGAGCGTGATTGCCTAGCAAGTTTAGATGGGCCACGATATCTGGTGGGTGCCACTGAATTGGGGGAGGCTTTCCTCTGGAGCATGCGGTGACACTTGAGTGAAGTTTTATGCACATATTCAAGTAATTTTGAATATGCTCACGTGGTGACCTTCATCAGAGGGACATTTTTTATTCAATCACAATTTTATTTTTTCCTGGTTGACTCATTTTGAAGTATATGTGTGTTTTGATGAATTGGACTTTTTCTGATTGATTTAATTGATTGATATATATTTATTTGCTGTAGTACATTATTTTAACTGTATATTAATTTGTGTCACTGTTTTACTCTCCAGTCCTGGTGATGTGCTAATATCTATCTCCTATAGTCTAAAAATTACACTTGTCTGTCTATATCTAGCCTCCTAGCCTAAGGCATTGCCAGGCAAAAAGAGAACAGAGAAAGCAGGAGAAGGATAACAAAATAACTAGGTTGGATGTTAAATCCTCCCCACCCACCCACCCACCCACCCAGGGTCCCTTTTTAAAAAGTTCAGAATGTCCAGGATGCAGGAAGGATTGGTGATTATGTGACCACTGAGATCAGTTGTCAGTGGTCACATGATCATGAGCCAGTCCTGCCAGCTACCGATAGTTAGTTTGAACTGATTGCTGTCTTTTGACAGCTCACCCCCTGTGCTGGGAGCATGCAGTGCTCCCACACGCCACCAAGCGACACGTATATGCGGCAGTTAAATGTTTGGTCATTCTCCACTCAAACAATTTAAGGAAAGATAGATATATTATATTTTATATATATATATATATATATATATATATATATATATATATATATATATATATATTTTTTTTTTTTTTCCGTAAGGTTGGTGTCCATGTTTTGTTCTTTTTTCACTTTTGGAAGTTATTAGAACATTTTTAGCTTTAGATAATTTTATACCTGTTTAATTCTGTGCTTTTTTTGTTTGTTTTACAATG